GTCAGTACACTCCATAACTACAGAGAAAGCAAAAGGACTTTTGTTAAAGGACTTTTGTTTAGATTTGTTTGTGAAAGTTTTTAATTTGCTAGAAATTAAAAGAGAATAAATGTTATTCATAGAATCAAAAATTCAAGAATATACCTATAATGTGAATATGATGAACATTTTAGGGAGGCAACCACTTCATTTTAAAATTACATTTAATTAGAAGTTTGAAGTTGTATCAATTTTTGCAAAGACTTCTTTTTTTTTGTTGTAGTTTTTGTTTTTCTCTGGTACCGGGAATCGAATTCACGATCTTGCGCTTGCCAGGCAGGTGCTGTGCCGCAAAGACTTCTAATGTCAGCCTTGAAAAGATAGCCTTGAAAAGAAATAATGTTCTACTCTGCTTCTCTCAATCTATGCCAATATTTTGTGTTATAGAAGAAAATCCTTCTCACATATCACTGCAAGTAAGGGATTCTTTATTCCTTTGTTTGGGAAATATTCATACCCTGGTAAGCATTTATATGCCCACCTCTAGAAAATATTATCAATCAAGTCTTTAAAAATCAGCAACATATTAAAAGCACCACACATAATTAAAATTTGGTAGCTACACATGTTGGCACATGGCAGACTAAGGCAGAAAGATCACCACAAATTCAAGATCAGCCTGAGTTTAGGGTCCACCTGAACTATAGAGCAAGATCCTATCTCAAAAAACCAAAAAAAAAAAAAAAAATTAGAGATGTTCTGTGTATGTAGAAAATAATTTAAAGACTTAGATTTGATGATGTGATATGCTATAAATACTTCAAAGTACAGTATATCCTTAATACTATTATATTTATAGTACCAGTGAATTAACATAAATGTAACAAAAATCTTCTATATTCCCTTCTGACAAAGAAGGCAGGACAATATTTTTCAAATCTCAAATAAAAATAAAGATGAGAAGTGAGATTATTGAGTTACATAGTCATTCAAGCCTGAACATCAGGCAATGTGTAGACACATTAAATTTATAAGAAATATCAACAAATACTTTTCCTTTCTTCTAAACTTAGATTTGCTAAGGCTGATAGTATAAATCAAGAGGAAGAGGTAATTAATTATCCATATATTAAAAAATCATCTATTTATGGTTGTAAATTGTACATTTTATGGGCAAATAAACCTGAGTTTTGCACCACAAACATTCAAAGAGGCACTTCAGGCAGATTTAAGACCAAAATATTAATCATAACAATGTAAAGTATAGAAGAAAGTATAAGAAAATGACTTCCTGATGTAGGAGTGGGAAAAACTTCAGATATAAATTTGTAAAACCACAAATGTTAAGGTGAAGGGAAGATAAAAAGAGTAATAGTTAAGATTTCTATTCAGCAAAGAAAATCCCTGATGAAATTAACCTGCAGATGAAAAAACTGCAGAAGGTATTTTCATTCTCTACAAGTGACAAATACATGAAGAAGATTTAACTAAAAAGTATCCTCCATTGCAATATGAAAACATAATATAAGCAGGCAATTTATAGAAGGGTCTACATAAGAATAAGAAAAATGACATAAAAGAAAGAAGATATAAAAGACAAAACTGGAAATGAATCTCAATTCATATCCATAAAATTCATCAGGATAGACTCTGGTGCTGGTAGAAAGAAATAGAAATCATTGCCTACTGGTGGTGGTTGTATGGACAGTGTGCATTAGATTTTACATGGATATACATTCTGTACACTAGCAAACATGCTCCTGAGTTGGCATTTTCTCAAATCTCTCTCTTCGGCAGTAAGAAAGAATGTTTCCTGTGAGACCTACATCACTGACAGAACTTGAAAAGCCTGCTTTCTCATAACTGTGGAAAAGGCAAATCAGGTATTATGTTACACCCACACATTTTCTGAAGTCTGACATCACCAGTGATTGAAATTTTCTGATTTAGCAGCGTCAGTGAGCACATAAGCTCCTGACTGATATGGTACCCTGAGAGGGCAAAAAAGACCATAAGGGCTGTCATCTCTCTATCTCTGCACCCCAAATCCAAGCTGAATGATTCTACCCAAATAACTCCTGAGCTATACTTGAACACTCTTTCTTTTGGTCCTCCTCTGTAGGCTGCCTTTTTGATGCCACTAAAGTGAAAACCAGAAAAGGATCCACTTCTTGGAGTGCTTAGTACACACACTGTGGGGGTAGAAGCTGGACTAAGGGGTGGCTTGAACTGAAGCTCCGTGCTTTATCTCAGCTGTGCCCTTCTCCATAGGCCATTCCCACGGGTTTCTCAAAAATACCAACACGAGGGCGCTGTCCACAGAGTGTGGGCAATTCAGGAGGAGTCAGGGGAATTTCAGAGATTGCAGGTCCAGCCACATATGGAGCACACAGCAAAGGCTCATGGTCACTTCTTTCCCCAGAGGGATGTTAAGTGACTACAAAGAAAAAACAGCCCCAAGACTTGGATGTGACAGTGCTAGACAGACATGACTTCAGCTCATTAAGGGGATGGAAGAGGTAGTGGGAAAAAAAGACAGGGCAGAGTAGAAAGTCAAATATTTACTCCAAGATTAAGGCAGTTTGAAATATGTTCTCAGAATCAGCATAAATTAGCAGTAGGAAGGGAAGTGTTTTCTCTTCACCACTATATGTGCTTGGTGTCTTGTGGTTAAACTGCTCAGCCCTGCCTGTGTTTATTGGCAATTTTGGAATGGTGCACCTCTTTATAACAGAAAATAAATAAAGAAATAACCAACCAAATCAAAGCAAAAATAGAAAACAAAATCCAGAGTAGTGCTCCTTTATCTCGTCACTACTCATAATGTGTCCCAGTTCAGTTCCTTAAGAGAACGTAATTCATACAGTGCTCATTGCAGGAAACTACCTCATAAATTTCATATTCTCTGGAGGAGCACTTTGGCTCTTTTCACCTGATGTTCTGTCACTGACAGGGCAGTGACTCACTGCTGATGTGCAGGATCTTGAGCAAGTATTGTACCATACACAACAGAATAAAACTGCATAACAGAATAAAATTCAAAAATCAAAGCAAATTTTCCCCCAAATGGTAATCACTTTCTTTTTTTCTTCAGTGCTGGAGATTAAAATTCAGGGCCTTGTGCACGTTACACAAATTACTTTAGACTGGAGACAACACCAGTATTTTTACTTTATTTTGATTTAGGTTTTGCTCTGTTGTCCAGGATGGCTTCAGTATTATAATCCTACTGCCTCAGTGTGCCTAGTTACCAGGATGAAAGCTGGGCACAACCATGCCTAACTGAAATTTCATTTAATCAAGCTCTATAATCCTACTTAACAGTGATAATTAAAGAACCCCCATCTTAGCTAGTCATGCTGGCACATGTTTGTCATCTCAGAATTATAAGAGGCTAAAAGCTGAGCTGGGGATTTAGCTCAGCGGCACAGCGCCTGCCTGGCAAGCTCGAGGTCGTGAGTCGGATTCCCGGTACCAAAAAAACCCAAGAAACAAAAAACAAAACAAAAAAAAAAGAGGCTAAAAGCTGATCAGAGTTCACTACAGCCCGGACAATTTAGTGACACTTTGTCTCAAACTTAAAAACAAAATATTAAAACACGTGGGGAATGTAATTCAGAGCAAAAGTCCTGAGTTCAACCCCCTGTGTAATAAAAACATCAACCACATCTTACAGTCTTTTGTATCCTGGAGAAATCCCTCCCAATCACACTCAGATGGTCATATCCAACAATTTTGAAAACTACAAGGCCACATTCCTAATTTCCAATTTTTCCTCAAAAATGGTTACGTTGGGCTGGGGATTTAGCTCAGCGGCAAAAGCGCCTGCCTGGCAAGCGCAAGGTCATGAGTTCGGTTCCTGGTACCGGAGAAAAACCAAAAAAAAAAAAAAAAAAAAAAATGGTTACGTTAACTGATCAATAGTAACAGAAGACATATATCTAACTTTTACTTAGTTCTTCTCCTTCCTTAAGACCTGTGATCTTTGCCCCACTCTCGGATTGAACCAAGGCACAATTTCTTTATGTCACACACTGAATAATTTCACCTCAGGGGAAGGCCTTCTCTATTGTAGGTGTGGTTTTTGCCACCCTCACCAACACCTCTTCTCTACCTTTTTTCTCCTGCCATTTGATCCTTCTTACAGAGAAAACCTTCATCCCTAGGCATTCTTATGCCTGCACATCTCACATTTTGGGCTTTACCCCTAGTGTAGTAATTCTTTAATATGAGGTTCGCCTCAATCAACATTTCAATTTTTAAAACAATGTCTACAAACAGTCCAACAGGTATAGCAATTACATGAGATGATACCTCTCCTTCCACTCCTACCAAATCACATGTCCATGTAGCTGCTCAAGTTCAATGAGTTTCACACATCGAACTGGCAGCCCCTTCTAGAAGCAGTCCTTAGCGGGAACAATTTCTCCTGACTCTGCCAGTACACTAACATCACCTCCATTTTCCCCAACATTCTAAACATTATGGGAATTCCTCACTTAAATGTTCTACTTGTTAAAAGAGGTGCCACATAAACAATTAAGACAATATTTTTTTCTGTACTTCTGCGTATGTAACATAGGCGTTCACTCCATGAATGGTAAGTGTTCCATCACCGAGTTACACCACAACGTTAATCCTACCTCTGGATCCGCACGGCATTTACCATCACCTATCGTGAGTGTGGCAATGTGGGGATATACTGGAAATTTAGGAATTCACCCTCCTCACGCAGCAGCACCGGCCTGAGGAGCTAAGTTGTGGGTTTAAGACCCGGTACCACAAACATTTATAAAACTGAGATCCATCAGGTCTGCTGGTTGGAGGGATGAAATCAGGAAACCAGCGTACCACAGCTCCTCCAGCTCCAGCTCTCACTTGACTCTGGGTCTCCCCCCTCAATTCCCACTCTCCGCACAGAGGTGGAGGTGTGGCCGTGAGCTGGGGCGGCCTGAGACCGCACTCTAGGCTGGCGGGGTGGGTTGGGGAGAGGTGGTGCTCGGTATCCAAAAATGGCCAACCTCAGCCAAGGCAGGTCCGACACAGGGTACACGCGCCTAGAGACCGGGAAAAACGCAGACTCTGGAGCATACAGAGGCACAAGTCTACCATCTCAGAATTACAAGAGGCCATCGCCGCCATTGTCGGTTCCTACCACTTCCGGGTTGATCTCACCCACATCGCCTCCCATTCCATCCCATCGCGGGGCAGCCGTCCCACACTATCACCATTGTGTGGCTCGAGGGTCTTCAGGGGTACTTCCAGTGCAGGCCGCAGCCAGTAGAAATCCTAAAGCAGGGTGGTCTAGGCAGGTGAGGTGGCTCTCAGCAAAGCGCGTAGGATCCGAGCTTTGGTGCCAGGAAACAGAGCCCGCCTCCCTTCGCCCACCTGATTGGACAGTTCGTACAGCCTGCGTCTTTAATCCTGATTTGCTCCTGCTCCATTACCTGCCCTCCGGAGCTGTGACGACTGGAACCGTGAAAACAAACAAATCCCTACGTGGGCGTGGTGCTGAAATCGTAGACTAAGCCAGAGGCTTCTAGACCAGTTTCTCTCCCAGGATGCAGCCTGTCCTAGGCTGTACTGAAGCAGAGTTTACGCCTGGCTTTTCAGAGCTGCCACTGTCATTTTTGTTTGTTTAACAAAAATGGATAGGGTCTCATATGGCCTTGACCGCACTGTAATTCTCCTGCCTTAGCCTACGTAGTGCTGGGTTTACAAGCATGCACCACCACTACCTGCTTACTGGACTCAGCGACCTCCTTTTGAGTGTTGCCCCTTAAAATGAGGTCATATGTGCTAAGGCGGTCCTAGATTTAATTCATGTGGCCTTGACCTCACTGTAATTCTCCTGCATTAGCCTACTTAGTGCTGGATTTACAAGCATACACCACCACTCCCAGCTGCTCCTGGCTTCTTAGTGGACTCAGAGACCTCTTTCTGAGTGTTGCCCCTTAAAATGGGATCACACATGTGCTAAGACAGTTCCAGAGTTAATTCACCGTGAAGAAATCACTATAACAGAATGCCATGAATCCAGGAAAGACCAGGACATATGAAATGTAAGGAAGGATTGATGTGACAACTTAAAAATATGAAATAAGGTAATTGCTTCATGGACAAGACTTTCTCACATTGTATCTCTCAATTTACTTATTTATTTTGTCTTTTTGAGACAGGGTTTTGCTATGTAGTTCAGGCTGGCTATGAACACACTTTGTAGCCCAGGCTGGCCTTGAACTTGCAATGATCCTCCTGCTTCAGCCTCCAAAGTGCCGGGATGACAGGCATGCACCACCATGCCTGGCCTGATTTACTCATATTAAACTAAAAAAAAAATATATGCCAAAAGGATTATGGTTTTTAAATTAATCCACTTCCTAGTGGTGAGGAAAAGAAACCTGAGGACTTTAGACTGTAAGTGCCTTGTATTCTGTACTTCCCTCTTCACAAGCTGAAACTCTATTTTTCAACAGAAGGGAAATATTAATATTAGAAGGCAAAAAATAATTGGAGTCATATAACACTCGATTAACGTCTAGTTTGGCATGAGAGGTGGGTAGGATATTAGTAAAGCACACTTTTGATATGTTGGGTTAAGTCATGGAGGTGTGACATTATGGACCAAGTCTTCTCCCTCCCACTTCTTCTCTGGTACCAGTTTTGCCCTGTACTTTTCTGTTTCTTCATTTTCTTCCACCATGATATTCCTCCTTTGGAGTCAAACAGCAACCAACTTCAATCTCTGAAACCATGGGCTAAAATAAAACCTTTAGTCGTAAATTGTGTAGGTGTGGAATTTTGTACCCACCCTCAGAATCTAATAAATACTAGGTGTCTGAAAAAAACAGAATGCCAAATGCACTAAACTTTTCTTTAGAAGAGTATATAAATGTTTTCTCTATGACTGCTCAATGATTTTTTTCATATAAAATTCATTTGCTTCACATAAAATGTGTTTCAGTCTGACTCCTGCAATACTTTGCATATCAAAACCACTTTCCAGGAAAGAGGAGATGGTGACCAGTAAAAAGCTCAGAAAAAAAGACAAAACCTCCAATACAATTTACACATTTGTCACCTACTTTCCTCTGCTCTGCAGCTTGTGACTTTCAACACTCCTTCTAGAGCTGTTCTGCGCAACTGGAGGCAACAAAGAGATCTGCAGCTCAGGAAGGCCCAAGAGGATGATCATGGCCCTTACTCGTCAGGTTTAAGATATATTTCACCTTCAAATTACTGGACTTAAGATGACTCCTCACTACAGTTTATTTATCTGCTTTACCAGTACTGATGCTTTCTATGACATCAATATCCCCAGCTTAGGTCTTTGAATATAAACCAAGAGAGTCCTTGTTTTTCTTATGTTCTTATCAATGAAGAAAAAGACAATTCTAAGCATCTGTACATGGACTTAAAACATGTAAGAACTATTACTTATTGAAAAACAAACATGCCAGAAACTTATCTCTGTATGACAAATTGTATAGAAAAAAACTTAATGAGTGAATTGTTCACTTTTTCTTGTGTATTGATGGTTTCCTCACTATTCCAGATGAATATGGACTGTCACAAGATGCTCTGTGATTAGGGAGCATGCCCCCAGTGACCTGCCTCCTCCAACTACACCTTACCACACATCAAATCTAGCTATAAGTCAGTTGTGGACTAATTCACTGATGAATATTATGTGTCCATGTCCCAATCAATTCCCCAAAGCCCTACCTATGATTGCATGAGTCTTTGGGAAAACATCTAGATATAAACTATACTACAGAAAGACCAACAGTATTCTTCGGAGAACTAGAAAAAACAACTATAAAATTTATATGCAAACAGAAGAGGCCCAAAATAGCAAAAGTACTTCTGGGCAACAAGGACAAAGCGGGAGGAAATTTAATCCTGAATTTCATGTTATATTATAAGGCTACAGTGATAAAACCAGCATGGTGCTGGGACAAAACCAGGCATGAGAATCAGTGGAACCCAATCCAGGTACAGAAACAACCAAGACACTTTCAACCATCTGATTTTTGATAAAGGGCTCAAAACATACAAGCGAAGAAAGATAATCCTTGAACAAATGGTGCTGGGAAAACTGATCATCTACATGCAAAGTCTAGACCCATATTTCTCACCCTCTACCCAGATCAAATAAAAATGGATCAAAAACATGATATAAAAACAGCAACACTGAGTGTACTTGAATATAAAATAGATAAATCACTTGAAGGCATGGGTATAGGTAAAAACTTGTGTATAGAATACTCATTCCACAATAAATAACAGTCAAAAAGGGATATTATCAAATTAAAAACCTTCTGCACAGCAAAGGAAACCAAAGGAGCAAAGAGACAACCTACAGAATGCAAAAACTTTTGACAGCTATTTCTCAGACAAAAGACTAATTTAGACTATATAAGAACTCAAAAAATTAGACTCCCAAATAAAAGAGCCAATAAAAAAAATATGAATACCCCTCAACCCACTCTTCAATTTGAACATTCTTATCCCATTATACTTGCCACATTCTGAAGTTGTTCTGGAAGTCTGTCATCACTGTAACCTTGTGGCTGCCCTATGGTCCTGAATCAATTCAAAATACTTACATCAATTTGTTTCAAATAAAAAATTTCAGTGTGTCCTTATCCCCCTATTTTGCTTGATCTGTTATCTTTCATCTTATGGCTTTTCCCCAGAGTTGAAATGACCATACAAGATAAACCTTTTGAATTGATTCATGACATTGAGGCAGTCACTACAGCAAAATTAAAGACAGGAGAGAAGACTTCCAGAACTGCTTCAAAAAGTGTCAAGAATGATGACATAAGTGTGTTTGAAGAGAGGGATAATGCTTTGAAGGGAATTAATGGCAATGCGTCTTTTCTTGTAATTTTAAAACAACTGTTTTAAAATGTAAACATTCATTGAATCTTTTGATCACAATCCATAAAAGCTATAACTAATAAGCAGGAAATGATGCTAAATAAGAGTCTTACATTAATTTTGACCAGACTTTCTACTATTTTAACTAATTAAGTTTATTCACACGTTTTAGGTATACATAATGATCACATTCATCATAGGGAATTTGTACCTGTACATGATATAACTTGATTCTTCTTTTTCCATTCTCCTACCCTTGATTCAATCTCTCTTCTCTTTATTTACAAAAGCTTTGCTTCCTTTTTTCCTTTTCTCATTTTTTCTTTTCCCTTGTTTCTTACCCCTCTACCCTCCCTAAGTCACTTTCACATTTGAACATTTTCTTCCTCCTTTACAACACTGTAAGGCTCCAACTGGATGTGACTCTCTCAGGTCTGAACCTGCTTGCCAAGGGAAGCACTACTCTTAGCAGGAAACTCAGCTGAGTACTGAACCTATCATTGGCAAGTATGGGAAAGAAGATAAGATAGGACAGGAAAGGAGATAAGACAGGACAAGGAATTTTGCAGGTTCTGGGACATCTGGAGACACCTGAGAATTTACACTGGACACCTCAAGGACTCTGCCTATTGAGATGAAAGATTGCTGGAGAACTTTAACCCAGATGTTTATTGGGATCTTCCATGTAATGTCCCCTGTCTTCTCTCCATCCCTATAAAAAGGGACACATTTCTCTTTGTTTGCTGCAGATGGGTCTTATCATACTCTCTGCCTGCATTTAGGCACAATAAATTCCAGGCCATGTTGTTTTACACAAGCCTGGTGGTCTCTACTGGTTCTCTTCTCCCTTGTATGTTGCAAATATCTGTTACACATTTTTAAGATCTACTTTTTCAAATGAACACACTGAAGAGGTAGTAAACAACAAGAGTAAAGAGACCTGGCTCAATTAATATGCAACAATAAACATGACAAATAGGAAACATACACTAAATGTAAAATAAAGTGCAAAAGTACGTTAAACATATCAATCATAACATTAAATATAAGTCAATTAAAGTCCCCTTGAGGAAAAAGTTACTTTCAGACTTTGCTAATAACCAAAATCCAATTATGTACTGTTTATAAGATATAAGTTAAGACAAATTACAAGATTAAAAATAAGAGCTATATCAGACAAACATTAAGAACATGAAGCTGTTAAGGCAATAGAGACCAATTAAATAAAATTCAAGGCTGAGGCTGAGGGTATAGCTCAGTTGTAAAGCACTTGCCTAGCATACGCAAGGCCCTAACACTGCAAGAACAAGCAAACAATAAAATAACCCAAAACTAAACCAAACTAATAAACAATAAACAACACCCCCAAATTTAACGCCAGTTTTAGCCAGGGAAGAGAGGATTTTTTTTTAAAAAGTATGGATATGAGTTTACTTCCACTTATTACTTGTCAGATACAAGTGCTTTCCATGCAGGGATTATATCTTAAGTCTTTAGTAAAAGCCCATTACT